CAATAGCAATGAATATTCAAAGGCAACATCCCCATTCACTTCATACAATTTCTCTGCAGCCTTTTGTCAAGGCTCAAATGCATTGAAGCCATGCCTCCAAAGGCAAGTATGAAAAAGAAACCCTTGACCAAAGGGTCTCCAAAAGCCAAGCCCAAAGCCTTGCCAAAAGGCAAGCCCAAAGCCTTGACAAAAGGCAATGGAGCAAAGAGTGGCACAAACAAGCCCATGAAAGTGAAAAAAAGCGCTTTGAAAAGAAAAAACCTAGAAAAACTTGGCAAAATGACACTAGCCCAGAAGGTCAAAAAAGCAACAGAAGAAGCAGACACTGCAGAAGAGGCTGCCCACAGCTTGAAAGATACCTTGACAAAAGAAGAACATTCAAAAGTATGGTCCAAACACAATGTTGAAATGAAGAAAAAATCAGCAAAGGAGCAAAAGGAATTTGCCAAGCTCAACAAAGGAGAAAAAGGCTTTTTGGCAGCCCTGCACATGGTGAAAACCACTTCACCCAAGTTTTTCCATGTGAAGGAAAGTGTTGGGCAGAGCCAAACCCTTGACAAAAGGGAAGCTTGGCAATCAGAAGCCCAAATGCTGACCCAATTTGGCCAAGCAGAATTTGAAAGACATCTTGAAAGTGGAAGAATCGAATGGAGGGCAGATCCATGGACAGAAGGAGTGTGGAACTACAAGGATAAAGGAGACATAGTGAAGCACACTTCAGTGAGAAAAAAGAGGGAATGGGAGGTGGGGCAGGAATATGAGCCAACTGGTGAAGATGAAGAGCAGTGGGACCAATGGTGGAAAAAGGATGCCACCAACCACCTCTACTTAGCAGAAACTTGGGGCAAAGGAGGAGGAAAAGCCTTGACCAAAGGCAAAGGAAAAGATGCCCAGAAAGCCTTGACAAAAGGCAAAGGCAAAGGCAACAGCAAGCAACTGGCCATCCAAGATGGGAACCCTGATGAAGATGAAGAAGATGAGCCTGAAGAGGAACAATGGAAGACAATTGTGGGAAAGGCAAAGAGAGCCAGAGACCAATGCAACTCAAACAAGGCAGATTGTGAAGCTGCCATGGAAGCTGCAGAGAAAGCCAAAAGGCTTACAAAGCAAAGCAGGAAAGACACTGAAGACCTGCTGCAGAGAGTGAACACCAAAGTTGCAGCCCTGAAGCAGCTTTTGGCCAAGAAACAAGATGCCATGACCTTGGAAAAAGCTAAGAAGCTTTTGGTGGAAGTTGGTGCTTTGGTTAAGGAGGTCAAAGAAGAAACCAAGGAGATGAATCAGCTAGCCAACAAAGCTGGCAGCAGAGCTTCCAAAAGGTAACCAGCTCCAGCAAACACTTGCAGCATTCTTGACAAAAGAGTGCAAAGACCTTGACAAAAGGGCTCAGCAAAGACTTTGACAAAAAGACTTTGCATTTCTGCGATGGTATCCCATGCTGGCCTGGCCAGTCAATTTTGAAGAAAGGCTTCAAGCACAAAAAGAGTTTAACAACTTTGCACTAAAGAGCTGCATGGTCTTGACAAAAGATTATGAAGCTTTAGGAGTTTTGCTTTGCAAGGGTAGCTTTTAGAAGCTCTTGACAAAAGGTGCTTCTTTGGTTGCTAGCCCCTGGGTTCTTCAATTCTTATTTTGTAGCCCTTTGGCCCCTTGACAAAAGAGGCTAGCTACAACATTGCAGCAGAGCAGTGCAAAAAAGAAAGCAGTGGGAAGTGTGTTGGGGGATCTGGTGCAGAGTGTTTGTGTAGGTATGTGAGCTTAACAGCATGCAACAGTAACATGATTTTCAGTGGGCATTGGTTTCCATGGTCTTTTGGGGAATGGGTACTTGCCTGTTGCTGCTTGGTTCCAAGTCATACCCTATGTCTCACCAATTTTGTTTTGGTGCTTGCAGCACCCTTGACAAAAGGGACTGCAAGCACAAAGCTGTACAGTTGTGCAGCCTCTTGACAAAAGGGGCAGCCAGAAGCAAGCAAGAATGAAAGGCCCAAAGAGGCAAAAACTACTTAGAGGATGGCAAATGGAGCAGGAGATGGAAAACCCTTGCCAAAAGGGTATTTCAGAAGAAGAGATAGAAAGTGGCAACCCCTTGAGCTCCAGGCTGGTCGAGCTTTGGAGCCAAGGCAAGATATCTGCAACCCAAGCAGCTGAACTTGCAAACCTTGCTATCCTGAGTGGATGCCAACATCCAGAGATTATGGATTTGGCCAAATGTGGTAATTTCCAAGAAACAGCTGGAAATTGCAACAGAGACATGGTAGCATTGCTGTGCAAACAAATGAAAATAGCAGAGGCTCACCCAGTGAAAGTCACAATGAAAGACCCCAAGACCCAAAGAGCAGCAACTGAAGAAGTCCCTGTGATGCTGCCCCATGTTCTCTTTAGCAAGCTGAGCGTTTTTTATCCAGAGGCCTTTGAAAACATTTTTGCAATTGCTGAGTGCCAAGCTTTTTGGGCAGGTGTCGAGAAAACCAAGGACCCCAGGCTGACAAAGCCTATTGGGTCCAATGGCAAAGTGCACATGCCATCAAAAACCATACCACTCTTTATCCATGGTGATGGCTGTGAGTTCCAAACCAGGGACAGTTTGATGACATGGTCATGGGGAAGCTTGCTTTCCCAGAACCCAAGCCTTTCAGCACATTTGTTGCTGACTGCAGTGCCTAAGTCCTGCACATTACCTGATACCTGGAAGCCCATTGATGCTTGGGTGGCTTGGTCATTTGATGCCTTGACAAAAGGCATGCACCCCAAAAAGGATCCATGGGGGAAGCCTGGGGGAAGCCCTTGACAAAAGGACTTCTTGCTGAACTGGCTGGGGAACCCTTGACAAAAGGACACCACAGGGCATGTATCTGGTCCATCCAAGGAGATGCAGAATTCTATGCCAATGTGCTCAAACTTCCCCATTGGCAGAACCAGTACCCCTGCCATGAATGCGATGCACAAAGACCTGTGTATAAAAAGGTTCCTTGCCCTGAAGGAAAATCAGTGAAGTTGGTAAGGGCAGAAGATCAAGCCTATGTCGATGTCACCCCAGAGATGGCTGGCCTTGCCAAAAGGTCCAGCCACCCCTTGTTCAACATCCCAGGGGTAACAACAGCAATGGTGAGGGGTGACCCCCTCCACATTTTGTACTCCAGAGGAGTTGCCTCCCATCTGGCTGGGAGCCTGCTGCACCTGCTGCACTATATGTGCTTTTATGATTACCCTAAGAGACAAAGTGTCCCAGCCAGCCAAAGATTGGAAAAAATATTGCCAAAATCAAAGATTTGTATTCTGCAAACAAAGTGGCTGCAAGGTTGACCAATCTCAGGTTGTCGATGCTGTGTGACACACAGAAACCACACAAGAACTTTGCTTTGCTTAGAGGCAAAAGCAGCAGAGACAAAGCATTTTTTACCTTGCTTGGAGAAAGTGATCGAAGAAGTTCTGGACCCTGAGGAAAACCCTATTCACAGCACCATGCTGGAGTGCATCCACTCCTTGAACCAGCTCATCCAGAACATCGATAGTTTTGGAGCTTTCCTCACTTCATCCCAGTACAGCATTGTACAGAACCTTGCCAAAAGGTTCTTTGATGCCTACCATGACCTGCACAATTGGGCCTTGACAAAAGGCAGAAAACTTTTTCACATTGTGCACAAGTTCCACTCTTGCAGGCATTTGTTCAACAACACAAAATTTCTCAATTTCAGAGCTCATCACAACTTTCGAGCAGAAGATTTTGTAGGGCAACTGAGTCAACTTGGCCACAGCTGCTCCTTTGGTGTCAAAGCAACCAAGCTACCTGGCAAAATTGTTCAGAAATGGAGAATCCTTCTTCATTTGCAGTTAACCAGACCTGGCTTTGGCTTTGCAGTGGAGGTTGATCCTTGACAAAAGGGTCAGATATAACACCTTTCTTGACAAAAGAAATGTGTTGTTTGCTTGGCCTGCCCATCATTGAGAAAAAAGGAAAGGATAGGATGATTGCCATGTCTTGACAAAAGACATGTATATACAGCTGATCCAAAGACTTTTGGCATGGAAAAAAGAGCTGCAGTCTTATTGATTTGGGCCATGGTTGGTTTGCTTGAAAATATTGATTTTTAACATACTTTTGACATTGAAAAAACAGCTTCAAGAATCAAGTAAAAAATATCAAAAATAAATCAATATCAATAGAGTTTCAAGAATATTGATTACAATCAATATCCGATGCCCAGGGTACTTTGTACTACAAAGGTTTCGCAAAGATTCGCAAAGTAGTTTCCAGTACTACTTCGCACTACAAGACTTGCACAAACTACTTTCCAGCACTACTTTGTACTACAAAGGTTTCGCGAAGATTCGCAGTACTTTCCAGTACTACTTCGCATTACAAGACTTGCACAAACTACTTTCCAGCACTACTTTGTACTACAAAGGTTTCGCAAAGATTCGCAAAGTACGTTCCAGTACTACTTCGGATGCACTTTCTGCCAACAAAAAAACAGGGTTTTCGTGCGATTCCTAAAATTGAAGCATCACCTGGACGAAGCAGAGGTGGTGATGTCACGGTGATGTCATGGTGATTGATTTTCTTCTCTGCCATATTTTCCGTATATATCACGGAGTTTAGACTTCTAAGCATCCTTTGGTAAGTCCATAACTTTAAGGGCCATAACTGTGGGGAGCTTTTCTTGGTTGCAAGGGTTGATTGCTGCACACGTATAGAGAAAGGACGTGCAAACATACGTCCATGAATCAGATGTGTGTCACGAGTGGGTAAATTTAACAATCAACTGTGGGTGTTAACCAACTATATCAACACACACACACACGCACACTTACGTGCACAATCTACAACCATTCAATACCCTCGTTTTACAAATTTACAAAACCATTTGTTTGTTCTAACCTTTACATGTATTTCAAGATGTCCTGTGTGCTCACGGCATACAAACACATTTGCAAGGCTCCCGTGGTGTAGTGATGCATGCAACACAAGTGCACGTTTGTGCGTATCGCCAAGCGTCTCTGGGCCGCAAAAGAATCTCTTGCAACGCAGCAAGTGCAAGCGGAGGAGAATCCTTACAGATGTGCAGGAACGAAAAAAAACACCGTGATCAACCTGGTATATGTGTGTATATTATATATATATATCATTGTACAAATACTCAATACATCTGTATAGTTAAAATCACCTACTGTAAATATTATATTATATACATGTATATGTGCATGTGACATATATGACTGCTTTTCCGGTTACACGAATGTCTCTTGGGATTGGTCGCGTCCAACTCCGCCTCGCGTCCAAGGCTATGCTGCAGAGAAGCCCTACTTCTGAAATCTTCGCTGATGTTGAATCAGTATGAATCAGTTCTATCATGTTAATCTCACTTTTATCATGTTTTATATGAATAAATATGATTCAATTTTATTTAAACCTTGAAACTTTTGATTTTATGAAGCGTCGCACAGTTTCATATTTTTCTTTCTGCCCAGGCAATTTTTCCATTGATTTCCGCGATGTATCTCCAAAAAGCGAAGGCTCTCCAGGATGAGGAAACCGGCAAACGACGACTCCAGATAAACCTTGGTGGTACTTCTCTTGCCACCAGGAGGAAAAAAAGGTGGCCAAAACAATTGGGTCACACCATATCGACATATTTGGATCGATTTGGGGGTACCAAAAAATGTACCTCAATTCTTTGAACCTATCTGGTGTTTTTATGCTGGGAATACTGGTTTATCATACCCTAAACTATTACCACATGTTGCAGTGGGATTCAGAACGCAATCATGGGAGTAATGTGGAAACTTACCGATCAATAGCTATGAATGCATGTATATATCCAGGGATGAACATCTATTTGCAAACTATATTTGGGTTCGCCAGGGGCACCAGGGTTTCGACCCAGAACCATTCAAAATGTTTTACGATTTCGAAATTTTACCATACGGTCCGCTTGAGCATGCCTGCACCCTGAACTCAGCAGCCCACAGCAACCATAGGGAAATGGCACGCCTATACCAATAGTTCATAGTGTGCAGCATCATTTCCCAAATCAGGGAAACCATGATGCAATTGGGATAAGTATACACTTTTTCGAAAAAAAAACAGTCTTGCGCCGTTTTTGAAGCTCCCAACGGACCATATCGGGCCAAGCAACCCATCCGTCCCAGTCTTCTAGGGAATCTTCCGTCTGCAAACCAATCCTGGCGCTGGTCGACTTGAGGCACTACCAAGTTCCTGGATCACTGCATTAGTTGAAGAGTATTCATCATCAGAAACATAAACATCTCTCATGTCTTACGTGCCTATCTGTATATACAAATAATTACTATGTGTAAATGAATATACTGTGTATATCCGCCGACCCCTGCCTCCACCAAGGCAGGGGCAGCGCCTGGGACCACCGCAGGTGTGGAACTACAGGCATTTGTTGTTAGAGCGTTCAAGCCTGCCGTTTGCCAGCCTTCAAACCACAAAAAACCCTAAAATCCATCGCAACAGCTTCCACCAGGCACTCTGGCCACAGGCATTTGTTGTTAGAGCGTTCAAGCCTGCCGTTTGCCTCCATAGCCCTCTGTTCTTAGGGCGTTCAAGCCTGCCGTTTGCCAGCCTTCAAACCACAAAAACCATCAAAAGCCCCTAAAATCCACGGCAGCTTCCACCAAGCACTCTGGCCACAGGCATTTGTTGTTGGAGCGTTCAAGCCTGCCGCTTGCCTCCATAGCCCTCTGTTGTTAGGGCGTTCAAGCCTGCCGTTTGCCAGCCTTCAAACCCCTAAAATGCCTAAAATGCCTCGCAGCAGCTTCCACCAGGCACTCTGGCCAGAGGCATTTGTTGTTAGAGCGTTCAAGCCTGCCGCTTGCCTCCATAGCCCTCTGTTGTTAGGGCGTTCAAGCCTGCCGTTTGCCAGCCTTCAAACCCGTACAATGCCTAAAATGCCTCGCCGCAGCTTCCACCAGGCACGCTGGCCACCGGCATTTGTTGTTAAAGCGTTCCAGACTGCCGTTTGCCTCCACAGCCCTCTGATGTTAGGGCGCTCAAGCCTGCCGTTTGCCAGCCTTCAAACCCCTAAAATGCCTAAAAATCCCTCGCGGCAGCTTCCACCACGCACTCTGGACACAGGCATTTGCTGTTAGAGCGTTCGAGTCTGCGTGCCGTTTGACAGCCTTCAAACCACTAAAATGCCTAAAATGCCTTGCGGCAGCTTCCGCCACAGGCATTTGTTGATAGAGCGTTCAAGCCTGCCGTTTGCCTCCATAGCCCTCTGCTGTTAGGGCGTTCAAGCCTGCCGTTTGCGAGCCTTCAAACCCCTAAAATGCCTAAAATGCCTCGCGGCAGCTTCCACCAGGCACTCTGGCCAGAGGCATTTGTTGTTAGAGCGTTCAAGCCGGCCATTTGCATTTGTTGTTAGAGCGTTCAAGCCGGCCATTTGCATTTGTTGTTAGAGTGTTCAAGCCTGCCGTTTTCCTCCATAGCCCTCTGCTGTCAGGGCGTTCAACCCTGCCGTTTGCCAGCCTTCAAAACCCCAAAATCCCGTGCAGCAGTTTTCAGCAGAAACTCGGGCACATTCGCCACAGGCTTTGTTGTTAGAGCGTTCAAGCCTGCCGTTTTCCTCCATAGCCCTCTGCTGTTAGGGCGTTCAAGCCTGCCGTTTGCCAGCCTTCAAACCCCTAAAATCCCTCGCAGCAGTTTCCAGCAGGCACTCAGGCACATTGGCCACAGGCATGTGTTGTTAGAGCGTTCAAGCTTGCTGTTTGCCTCCATAGCCCCTCTGTTGTTAGGGCGTCCAAGCCAACCATTTGCCAGCCTTCAAGCCATTAAAAGCCCTAAAATCCATCGCGGCAGCTTCCACCAGGCACTCTGGCCACAGGCATTTGTTGTTAGAGCGTTCAAGCTGGCCGCTTGCCTCCATAGCCCTCTGTTGTTAGGGCGTTCAAGCCTGCCGTTTGCCAGCCTTCAAACCCCTAAAATGCCTCGCGGCAGCTTCCATCACAGGCATTTGTTGTTAGAGCGTTCAAGCCTGCCGCTTGCCTCCATAGCCCTCTGTTCTTAGGGCGTTCAAGCCTGCCGTTTGCCAGCCTTCAAACCCCTACAATGCCTAAAATGCCTCGCCGCAGCTTCCACCAGGCACGCTGGCCACAGGCATTTGTTGTTAGAGCGTTCAAGTCGGCCGTTTGCAGTTGTTGTTAGAGTGTTCAAGCCTGCCGTTTTCCTCCATAGCCCTCTGCTGTCAGGGCGTTCAAGCCTGCCGTTTGCCAGCCTTCAAACCCCTAAAATCCCGTGCAGCAGGTTTCAGCAGGCACTCAGGCACATTGGCCACAGGCTTTATGTTAGAGCGTTCAAGCCTGCCGTTTGCCTCCGTAGCCCTCTGCTGTTAAGGCGTTCAATCCTGCCGTTTGCCAGCATTCAAACCCGTAACATCCCTCGCGGCAGCAGCACTCTGGCCACAGGCATTTGTTGTTAGAGCGTTCAAGCTTGCCGTTTGCCTCCACAGCCCTCTGTTGTTAGGGCGTTCAAGCCTGCCGTTTGCCAGCCTTCAAACCCCTAAAATGCCTAAAATGCCTCGCGGCAGCTTCGACCAGCCAGGCTTTTCAGCCTTGGGCTGAAAAAAATGATCCCATGAAGATCTAGGTATGTGTGGAATCACTAGAAAATAGCTTTCGGACAAATGATAAATATGGAACGATGTAGGCTAACATCGGATAACATTGGATAACATCGGATAACCATGGCCATCAAAATGGGGGTCAGCGGCACCAGGGCGTTAGCCCATTCTATATGTATCATGTTCTATTGTATATATGTAAATACAATGTCTATCAAATAAAAATCTGCCCGCCTGCCGGCATGTCTGATTTTTCTGGTCTGGGAATGTGTTCCTTTGTTCTCTTGCTACGGGTTTCTGCTTCGTCTGAATCATTCCTTTCCCCCTCCTTCCCTCCTTCCCTCCTTCCCTCCTTCCCCCGTTCTTCTTCTTCTTCCTACTACTACTACTGCTGCTGCTGCTACTACTACCACTGCCACTGCCAACCACCGCCACTTGCTACTCCTACTAATCCTACTACTCCTATTACTCCTAGTAATCCTACTACTCCTACTCCTACTCCTACTCCTACTCCTACTCCTACTCCTACTCCTACCTACTACTACTGCTCCTACCTACTACTGCTGCTCCTACCTACTACTGCTGCTCCTACTTGCTACTCCTGCTCCTACCTACTACTCCTGCTCCTGCTCCTACCCACTACTCCTACTCCTACTACTACTCCGACTACTACTACTACTACTACTCCTACTACTACTACTACTACTACTCCTACTACTCCTACTACTCTTACTACTCCTGCTACTCCTGCTACTCCTACTGCTCCTACTACTCTTACTACTGCTACTACTACTACCACTACTACTACTACTACCACTACTACTCCTACTACTACTCCTACTCCTACTGCTACTACCACTGCTACTACCACTGCTACTACTACTGCTACTACTACTACTGCTCCTACCTACTACTACTGCTCCTACCTACTACTACTGCTCCTACCAACTACTACTGCTCCTACCTACTACTCCTGCTCCTACCTACCACTCCTGCTCCTACCTACTACTCCTGCTCCTACCTACTACTCCTACTACTACTCTACTACTACTACTACTGCTACTACTACTGCTACTACTGCTACTACTACTGCTACTACTACTGCTACTACTACTGCTACTACTGCTACTACTACTACTGCTCCTACCTACTACTACACCTACTGCTACTACTGCTGCTACTACTACTGCTACTACTACTGCCCCTACCTACTACTACACCTACTACTACTGCTCCTAACTACTACTGCTCCTACCTACTACTACTGCTCCTACCGACTACTCCTACTCCTACTCCTCCTTCCCCAAGTACAAAACCGGTAGTGCCGATAGCTAGCAAAACTGTCTACAGTACCGGTACTAGGTACTAGTCACAGGATGTACACAGCACTCAACTGATCGACCGCTTCTTTTTTGGCATGCGGTCAATAGGTCAAGCTGCTTCTGATCTACGGCTCTGTCTTCGTCTCTTCCTCTCCCGCTTCCACCTAGACATCCTCCTTTGGGGCCACGGCTTGCCGCTGACTGAGGCCCCTCAAAATACCACTACTGCTACTACTACTCCTACTACTACTACTCCTACTACTCCTACTCCTACACTCCTACTCCTACTACTACTACTACTACCACTACTACTCCTACTACCACTCCTACTCCTACTGCTACTACTACTGCTACTACACTGCTCCCACCCACTACTACTGCTCCTACCTACTACTACTACTCCTACTACTACTACTACTACTGCTACTACTACTCCTACTACTCCTACTCCTCCAGCTACTACTAGTGCTCCTACCTAACAACTACTACTACTACTCCTCCTACTACTACTACTCCTCCTACTACTACTACTACTACTACTACTACTACTCCTAGTCCTAGTCTTTCCTCCTTCCCCAAGTACAAAACCGGTAGTGCCGATAGCTAGCAAAACTGTCTACAGTACCGGTACTAGGTACTAGTCACAGGATGTACACAGCACTCAACTGATCGACCGCTTCTTTTTTGGTATGCGGTCAATAGGTCAAGCTGCTTCTGATCTACGGCTCTGTCTTCGTCTCTTCCTCTCCGGCTTCCACCTAGACATCCTCCCTTGGGGCCACCTCTCTGCCGGCGGGCTTGCCGCTGACCGAGGCACAGCCCGTCAAAATATCTTCGTCATTCTCAACCAATCATCGCAAGTACAATTAATTAAACGCATTATGTGTATACATACATACATATATATATAATAAAAATAATAATAATATATAATAAAATATAATCTTAATTTTAATCATATCATATTATATCAAATTGTATTATGTTATGTTATAACATATGTATATATATATATATAAAAACATGTAGTGTAAATAATGTAATATATATATATAATCCCGGCCGAACTGTCCAAACTGTGTGTAAAAAATGTTTGATTCTTCAAAACGTGAGTTTAAACAAAGCTATGGCACGTGGTTTGGAATTACTATCACAATGATATTGCATAAAACATATGTTTTGCTATTCAGAAACAAAAACACTATCCAGTATCACAGTGTTTTGGAAAGTTTTGGATGTTGAGTGGTACCATGTTGTTCATTCGATATGAATTTCTTTGGCTACGACTTGCAATTAATGCCAACTAAAATATCCAAATGTTACCATTGATATTTTCTTCGCATCAGTAGTCAGTAGTCAAATGTCCAATTCACAAATTCGCAGCTAAGCAAAACACTGCTGACTTGAGACAGGAGACATGACGCCATTGAGAATAATCAAAAAGGCCACGAAAGGCTCGATGTAGACCAACGGATGAACCCTCGCCGCGCCACTCCATGGAATCGATGGAGAGCCCCCAAACACCAATGTGTCGCTTGGAAAAAATGAACCTTACGGACTGAATATGTGTCCAACCGACATGGTTTAGCACAAGTTTATAAACAATATTTCCAATATTTGTCGCTTGGTAAACTAAACCATATCCAAGCGGAAACTCCGGAAATGGTTTCTTTACGAACTGAATATGTGCGACGCTGATCTTGAGACATCTCCAGAAAACATTTCCATCGCATAGACTTTGGGATTGAACAGAGATTGACATCATTTTCTGAATTTGATGATGATACAATGATACACGCTGGATTCACCATGATTCACAACTTTGGATTCACAATCATGTTTCAAGATGATCATTATGATTGAAAATTATAATAGTGGCCATTGTCACACCACTTAGAATCATGATAACGATTATGAATCCCTTCCTCACCCCATTGATATAGAAAAAAAGAAATATATGGCTTAAACAAATATGTGTCAGTACGCGATTGGAAATCATATTTGCTACCATTATATAACCGTGGTTGTGTTTAAAACGAACTGGGGATGAGATTACACAATAATTGCCAAATAGTATCAACCGTCATTCTGAATCCATTCATCTACAGTAATGAATTTCAGGCATTATCAACCGTGATGATCCATGATAAACCATCATTGTCAACCATTATCAAATCATATTAACCCTTCTTGACAAGTGTGAGTCGTGCCTTCCAGGATTCCAACTGTTCTATCTAGAGGTTTACCCTCCGGTAATCAAACGTGGCACTGGAATTGTCTCCTTTTATAGATGATTTTCTCCTTAAAACATCCTAAAGTTTCCATTCAGTTTGGGGGTTTTCGCCATGTTTCATGACACCAACATATATCCCATTGAATCACCATTAAATCACCAGTAAATCACCAGTAAATCACCATTAAATCACCATTGAATCACCAGTAAATCACCATTAAATCATCATTCAATCACCATTAAATCACCTTTAAATCACCTTTGAATCACAACTAAATCACCATTAAATCACCAGTAAATCACCAGTAAATCACCATTAAATCACCATTGAATCACCAGTAAATCACCATTAAATCATCATTCAATCACCATTAAATCACCTGTAAATCACCTTTGAATCACAATTAAATCACCATTAAATCACCAGTGAATCATCAGTACATCACCATTAAATCACCATTAAATCGCCAGTAAATCAACATTAAAATCACCATTAAATCACCATTAAACCAACAGTAGATCACCATTAAATCACCATTAAATCACCAGTAAATCACCATTGAATCACCAGTAAATCACCATTAAATCACCATTAAATTAACTTTAAATCACCTTTATATCACAATTAAATCACCATTGAATCACCTTTAAATCACCTTTAAATCAAAATTAAATCAACATTAAGCCACCAGTAAGTCACCAGTACATAACCAGTAAATCACAAGTAAATCAAAAGTAAATCACCATTAAGTCACCAGTAAACCACCATTAAACCACTAGTACATCACCATTGAACCACCATTTAACCAAGTAAATCACCATTAAATCACCAATAAATCACCAATAAATCACCAGTAAATCACCATTAAATCAACATTAATTCACCATTAAATCACCAGTAAATCACCAGTAAATCACTATTAGATCACAAGTAAATCACCAGTAAATCACCATTAAATCATCATTCAATCACCATTAAATCACCTTTAAATCACCTTTGAATCACAACTAAATCACCATTAAATCACCAGTAAATCACCAGTAAATCACCATTAAATCACCATTGAATCACCAGTAAATCACCATTAAATCATCATTCAATCACCATTAAATCACCTGTAAATCACCTTTGAATCACAATTAAATCACCATTAAATCACCTTTAAATCACCTTTAAATCACAATTAAATCACCATTAAGTCACCAGTAAATCACCAGTACATCACCATTAAATCACCGTTAAATCAACAGTAAATCACCATTAAATCACGGGCACAGTAAATCACCAGAACAGTAAATCACCAGTACATTAGCATTAAATCAACATTTAACCACCATGTAATCACCAGTAAATCACCATTAAATCACAAGTAAATCACCAGTACATCACCATTAAATCACCATTAAATCACCATTTAACCAACAGTAAATCACCATTAAATCACCAGTAAATCACCAGTAAATCACCATTTAAATCACCATTAAATCACCTTTTAATCACCATTAAATCACCAATAAATCACAAGTAAATCACCATTAAATCACCATTAAATCTCCTGATGCGAGATTTGTGGGCGCTGAGAGCGCTGGCCTCTCTAAATCACCATTTAATCACCAGTAAATCACAAGTAAATCACAAGTAAACCACCAGTAAATCACCATTAAGTCACCAGTAAATCACCAGTACATCACCATTTAATCACCATTTAATCACCAGTAAATCACCATTAAATCACAAGTAAATCACCAGTACACCACCATTAAATCACCATTAAATCACCATTAAACCAACAGTAAATCAACATAAAATCACCAGTAAATCACCAGTAAATCACCATTTAATCACCATTAAATCACCATTTAATCACCAGTAAATCACCAGTAAGTCACCATTAAATCACCATTAAATCACCATTTAACCACCAGTAAATCACCAGTAAATCACCAGCAAATCACCATTAAATCACCAATAAACCACCATTTAATCACCAGTAAATCACCAGTAAATCACCAGTAAATCACCATTAAATCACCATTTAAATCACCATTAAATCACCAGTAAATCACCAGTAAGTCACCATTAAATCACCATTTAATCACCATTTAATCACCAGTAAATCACCAGTAGATCACCATTAAATCACCATTTAATCACCAGTAAATCACCAGTAAATCACCATTAAGTCACCAGTAAATCACCATTGAATCACAGGTAAATCACCATTAAATCACCAGTAAGTCACCATTGAATCAGGGGTAAATCACCATTAAATCACCAGTAAATCAGCATTTGTTGGCCTTTTTTTTTAATCCTTCAACAAGCTACGGCTCAGGAGGGGCAGCCAGGTCATTAATGCGAACGAAGGTCAGCCTCAGTTGGTTGGAGTCTGTTGAACCGGGGTTGAGTTTATTGGCTCTGCTGGTAGAGGCCGAAAACTTTGTTTAAATTTTGTTGACATTTTTTCGGCTTTAGAATTTGTTGATAGTGGATGGATTGAACAAATATTTGTGTAGAACATTTCCAGGTAGCGTAGATTTCACCAAACTCGTGCAACACTATGAACAATTGAAAAAACGCGTCTATACTATACACACCATTTATAGCGCAGTGATAACTGGATATTGTGCAAATCTAACATATTTTACAACCCCATTACTGTATAGGGTGCATGCATGAAACTGAACCATGATACAGCTACAAGCACACCTGACTTCTTCTCCTGGTACGCCAAACAAACATCAGGACCAGCCAAATATCTGGAGGTATATACATATATATATATACATTATATATACATATGTGTATATATATATATATACATGTGTGTATATATGTATATATGATATAGATATATATATATAAATAGCTCAATATATGATGTATATATATTATATATGTATATGATATGATATATACATATATATATATACTACACAAATATATATATATATATATCACATATATATATATGTTATACATCACACGCACATATATATCTATATATGATAAATAAATGATATACATTATATATAGATATGATGTATGTATACGATATATACGTATATATATATGATATAACGTTTCAGTGGCTCAACCAACCCAGCAGCGACACAGCGGTGCAAGCAGGATTTTCCGATCTTGAGCCAAAGTCAAGTTACAGCATAGTTTCATGCTGACCCAACTCTGGATTGGACATGCTCTGTGCTTATGATTGTAAAGGCACATTCGGTTGGTTTGTGACACATTTGGTGTTTGTAGCCGACGGTGCCCAAGGCAACACGCCGGATTTTGAGCATCCGTTTTGGGACTGTTACGGTTAGTGGTTTTTGTCCGAATTTATTCTTCTCCCCCTTCTCACACAGTGGCTTGCCAACAGCATGGAAGTGTGGGTGCTCTTTGAAGAAATCACAGCGGTACCACTGACACATTCATCTGTTTAAGTGCTTCCAGCCATTTCGCCACCGGGAGGGGCTTTGTGAATGGATCAGCCCTTTGCAATGCAGTCTTGATATACAGAAACCTGGAAATTGAGTTGTCCTTGAACCACTCGTGAATGGATCCAATGTTTATCTTGAAAATTTTCTTAAGATGCCATAACTTTGGGGAATATCCTGATTCCACAATTTGAATCACAGCAGAGTTATCTTGGAATACCACGAGATCAACTTCTCTTTGCAGCATGCATTCAAGGAACTCTTGCATCGGTATGGCTTCTGAAAACAAACCTGAACCTAGTGAGACCATTTCTGCTTCTGTTGTCGACCTTGCAGTCGACGACGGCTTTTTGCTGGACCATGACAATGGCCAAAATGAATTTGGTCCTTCCAGAGCCATGATGAAACCGCTCGAAGACTTGGTGTCTTCTTGTGACGAACAATGATCAGCATCAGTGTAAGTTGTGAGGAAAAGCTTGTCTGGAGGATCTGCGATCTTACCTTGAAGTCTGAAATTCTTTGAACCATGGACATAACACATCAGTCTGTGCAGGCGTCGGTCGTCTGCTTTTGCCCAGACAGTCAGTCTACGTGTCAAGTCTGCTATACCTTTCATGAGGTCAGGTCGCGCTAAGCGCGCCGCCCATAAAAATCTTCATTAAGATCCTTGAGGCTTGCTGACTGAACTGACCACGTTCTGCCCAATCCAAATCAGTTAGACTTCCTTCTGGTAGATACGGAGATGCAGCCGGTTTCAACTTCCATCCCGTCAACTCCTCATACATTTGACATGCATTCTCAACAAACTCAACCATTTCAAACGAACAAGTTGTTACATTATCCTTTCTAGAAATTTCATGACCCCTGCCCAACACTCTAGAGACATCCGTAGGAGGATCCAATTCCAAGTGCTCTTGCAGTGCGTTCCAGAAAGGTTCATGTCTTTCTGCTGGTCCTGATACTACAATGTCGTCTACATACAAGCTCAACATCAGTCCGAAACTTGGTAACCAGTAGTTTGATGGAAAGCTTGGCAACGGTACAGCACCAAGCTGAGACATTGCAGCCTTGAACCTCTCGTTCCAGTGGAATCCACTTTCCGGGTGGCCGTACAAACTTCGCCAAAGCCGTACGCACGGTCTTTTGATGTGCTGGTACTCAGCAGGAACTAACTCAGGAGCTAGTTCTACCCATGTCTCCACCTTAAGTGCCGAGGTACGACTGCAAATATGCACGCGCTACATCCGATTGGGTGTGGAACCCCTTTTCTGAGATCTTTGCACATCCGCGACAACCAGGTGTGATTCCGAAGCGAATGGTTCTATCCAAGGTCACATATGTCTTGCGTTTCCTGACTTCAGGTTTAGGTGCACCCTCTTCAAAAGGCAAAGCAATCTTGGGTAGTTCACCGCTGCCCCCTTCCAAACTTGCGTTTGCAGCATTGAAAAAGTGGGAAAACGAAGGCATCAGGGATCACTAATTCATCAGCATGGACTTGCACCGGACGACCAAAGCCCTTTGCCTTAGTCCTCAAGTTTTCGTAATCCAAAACCAAATGAACCTTTTTGTGTTTATACCCTGAGTCTAGTCTCCACCCCGCTAAGATTCCTGGAACGGTCCTTGCTTCAAATGCTGGCTTGGAAGTATGTTGAGATGGCTTGTAATACACTAATGCACCTAGAGGAACTCGAAAACCCTCGAATGGCTCACCATTGTTTGCCGCTTCATAAGCTGTCCAACCCTGTTTCAGCCTTTTGGCATCATCAGTTTCGTTCGGATGGATGGCAGCGAGTGTTGTGAAGCTTTTGGCAACGCAAAAATATTCCACGCTTCTCGGCCACAGTTCATGCGGAAAACCAGCTGCTAAATGAATTGCTCTGACCCCTTCTTTTATCCTACGAATGTTGCTTTCGAGCTTGGCGTTGTGAAAAGGATCATTTGGAATTCCAGGTTCTGGCAACCATCCTAAGTATTTCACCGCCTCAGTCAGCTCTTGCGCACAATCCGACTTCACTGAGCACAAAGCCTTGCCATGTGCCTTAGTTCCACCAAACTTCTGGAGACATGAAATGTTCAAGTCTGTTGTCCTCGACACCTGAGGGAATGCTTGAAAACATCCTGAAACTCATCGCAACATATCATGCATGACTGTTCACCCTCTGACCCTTCAGTAAGATCACTTCCAAGAATGATGTGGTCCACCCTCAGTTGATGACTGAAATGCAATGGCGGGGTTCTTCGGGATCAATGTCATGTTTTCTCCTATGGTACCTTGAAGTCATTTTGGCACGTTTGCATATTTCGCAAGTTTTTGATTTTGGGAAATGGGTCAGAAGGTTATGGGGTATGTCAAGTTCCTCAAGGTCATATCCACTTGATTCCTCAACTACCTCATCCCCTTCCTTCTTTTCTGCATCCCCCTTTCCAACCGGCTCTTCAAGGAGATCAAGGATTTCGTTGGTATCCCCAGGCTCTGCTTCAGGATCAGCAATTGAAGGTGCATAATCATCTTCATCATCAACCTTGGACTTTTCCGCAGGCTTTTCATGAGACGATGAAGTTGGCTCAGCTGGCATTGCAACACACTCAACCCTTTCAGAAAGAATGGGAACATTTTCGACGACACGATCAGCATAGATTTTCGCACTTTCAGGACAATGAAACGTCACATCTGACAACCTTTCAGGTTTGATGAAAAATGGCAGTTGATTGGGAAACCAAACCCATGCTTTCCCTTGCTCATTGACTTGTTGGCCTAAAGACAGTGCTGCAGAACAATCATGGAGCGTATAGAAAATCCCATCCCCGGAATGTGCGCCCCGCAAACGCACGGCTTCGGAACTATTCCGAATACCACCTCCAGTTGAAAACTTGAAGCTCTCAGGAGAGGCATCTAAGAAAGGAACCCATTGCTCCGGCAAACTTTTCTTTGAAATCAGGTTTCTCCCAGCCCCAGAGTCGATCAAGAACTCTTGTCTCAGGCACGTTGGATCTGTGAATGCTGCCATAGCAGCAATGCGCTTGAATACCTTTTCGAACATCCCAGGCTGTTTCACGCGCCCTTTGGTTCTCTTCAAAAACTTCTGAGCTTTGCACTTGGCATCTGAAAGAACACCGACGGATTGCTCTTGCCCTGAGGACGGTGCGTTACTGCAACTCGCCCTTGCAGCCTCAGCCCCCTTGATTGTGGATCCACCAGCTGCACCTGCAATGAAACGGGCTACACCGGCACTAACAGTTGCAGTTGCACTAGTGCTAGACTTCTGCCGTGCTTGTGGCTTCGGACCCTTAAACAAATTGTTCTTGTCATGCAAGTATGGGCATTTTGCTCCTTTTGTACAGCTGTCATAGGCAAAGTACATGCATGGTAACTTGGCTCTGTCCTCACGAGACATAGGCACCGAAGACCCTTTCCCTGGTTCCGACTTCTTGCCCTTCCCTTTTGGGTTTCCAGGCGCAGCAGCAACTGATGAAGCCGCATCTGAAGTTTTCTTCGGAGATTCTTTCTTGGGTTTCTCAGTCTTCCCTTTTGTTTCTTTCTGGCCTTTCTCTTCGCGAGGTTGGTCCTTATCACCTTTCTTTGGTTTCTCCTTTTTGGGTTTTTCCTTCTCTTCCTTTTCAGCTTTCGCTGGGTTTGCAGCTACCTTGTGGCCTCCTGATGACTGCAATGCCTTTTCAACATGCCCTTTCATCCAACTGTTCAATCTCTATTGCTTCCTCCATTTTCTGATATAGCCAATTTCAAGTCCTTTTGGACGAGCCTGACCTTGCTCCACAAAATTTATCTATGGCTAAGGCAAGCTTAGGATGACCTTTCAGATTTTCGAAGAGGAGAGATCGCACGGCACTATCTGCTGGCATGTCAACCTGTTCAAGAGACCCGGCAATGTAATCAAATTTGGATTTGAACTCAACCAGTGACTTGATAGTCGCACCTTCAATCTTCAAGGCAAGCAAGCGATGCTGCGACATTGCAGACCCCCTGTCCTTGTCGAGCTTGAACTTCTGGAAAATCGTCCATAATAGAAGTCGTCCTGATGGCTGCTTACCCTTCTTTTGATGGGATTCCTGAACCGTCTGAAAGTCCAATGAGAAGCGTGTTCCTCTTGATGATTCCAACAGTTTGTGACCAACGATCCTATCCAAGATTGGGAATTCTCCTGAAACGATCTCCCCTGGAGTCAATGCACTGTTGCACTTTGAAATCCAAGAGAAAACTTGCGATTCATCTTTCTTGGCAAGTTTGCACACTGCTGAAAAGATGCTGTTCCGATACCCCCTTGCTTCGGCAGCATTCTTTGGAATGATCGGCAGCTTCATGGCATCATACCCTTTCACACGCATTACTCTCTTTTCTTTCTTGTATTCATCTTGATCACTGTCTGAAGACGATGACCTACTTGATGAATGTTTGGACCTTTCAGACCCACCACCATCTGAACCCCCTGGACTGCCCCCTCCCCTCTTCGAATCGCTCGAAGAAGACGAATGCGAACTCTTGGACGAGGCTTTGGATTTCTCCGAAGAGGCTTTTGGCGATGACGGCTTAGGAATTCTAGCTTCTAGATTTTGAACCATCAACTTCAATTGGCTTAGCATGGCTTCAGTTCCTGAATGCTTTGGACTACTGGATTCTTTTGAGACCTTTGATCCCTTTTTACCCTTATGCCCAAAACCCATTTGTTTTTCGCCTGCGGAGCCCAGTGGCTTCGCGCTCGGCTGTGGTTGCACGGCATCTTGGGCATATGGCGGTAATCCATCATCTGACATTCCGAATCCAATTGCGCTGACCGGTTGAAGGATTTGGCGACCCACTGGAGTGTGAATTGGAAACTCCGTAGCATCTACAGCTCTTGGTGATGATCTCATAGCATCTGATTGCATTTGCGCTATCACTGCATTCTGATTGTCAATCTGCCTAGCCATTGTCTCAATGATGTGACTTTGTTCATCCATCTTGTTGGACATTTGCTGGTTTATCTCAATCAACTCATTCATCCGACCCTCCATGTGGGAAACGTGACTTTGTGCATCCTTTTGGATTCTAAGGACTTCAGCTCTTGATTGCAAACGGATACTCTCAATTTCACGGTGTGCCATTTGGACAACTTGTGAAGCTTCCCCACGAATTTCGTTCAAGTCCCTTTGAGACTGAACTACTTGGGATTGAGATTCTCCTACAACTCTAGAAGCCTCTGAATGAACTTGTTCTGCAAAGGCTAGACCTTCGTTCCTATAGCTATTCCCCTTTCAGCTTCAACGTGTTGGATTGCTTCAGCCCTCAAACTTTCCCGCGCTTGCTCAATGACTTGATGGGCTCTTGCAATGACGAATGGGTTCATACTCACATGAAGTTCGTTTCGAACATTTGTTTGAGAGTAAGTTGGACCCTGATCACCAGCACTGGAACCTGGATTTGGAAACGTATTCTGCGGAATGGTTGGTGAGCTAGCTTGAGACCCATCCCTAAGGAAATTTGAAAGAGTCTCTGGGCCGGCTTTGGCAAGAACGACTCTCTGTTCTGGCGTTGACATGGATCTGGATTCTGACTCCGAACTCGGTGTTGGGATATTTCGTGCATGAACTTGCATAGCTGTTACACCATGATTACCATGGGCAGACCTAGATCTATCGGTTTCCGATGATTGAAAGTCTTCTGAATTCGACATGTTTGGTTCGAATGACGCCATTTTGGCAGTGGATTGGATAAAGGGTGTACTACCTTATCGGCAAGGGTTCACTTCCTAACCTCCACTTTTCACTCGCTCAGCCACTCTTCGACGTATGGCAAACAGTCCTCCAAGAACTTAGCTCGCGGGAAATGATCAACCGCAGCTGGCTTCCTGGGCAACTTAATGTGTGCAGCACGAACCTGAGGCAAGTAATCGCTGAACTCACTAAGAACGTCTGAACTGTCGTCAATGAAGAAGAATGAAGACTCGTATCCCTGTCTGCTCGATGATATCTGTAACACAAGCGCACTTCCCTTCGGCACCACAACGATCTTTTCGTACAATGTTACCCCAGTGAAATACTTATTGTGCAAATAATTGTTCAGTATTTCGAATATACCCTAAAGTTGAGGCCGCTCTCTTGTCAGTGTCGATGTACGACAGAATTCCAACAAAAAAATGCTTCCCAAACTTATCGGCTGCTTCAATGCACTGGCTGACAAATCTCAAATTGGACGATGGGACCCGGTCCAAGGAATACGTTGTTCCTTCCTTTCCACGATCAACCACCTGATGCGACTTGTCCTCGACTTCGTTGAAGGCCAAAGTATGTTTCTCTTCCGGGCCGTTGGCGTTCGAAAAACGATACAAATGTTGGGATCTCGGAAATCTTGGAGTATACCTTAGAGACACCTGAATCGGAGTAGGACCTTTGGCCTTTGCGACCGGTCTTGAAGAACTGCTTAACTCTCCTTGAAAGTCTCGCTTGCTTCCCAATGCTGCTTGGCTAGGTCTCACCACACTCGATGGCTCTACTTTCTCAGGACGACTCGGTGCCGACTGAGATTGATACGAGGCCTTGAAAGTTTCCAGTAAAGATTCGCGAACTCTTGTATTCGGATGACTCTCGCTGAAGCTGTCTTTCAAGATAAAAGGAAACTCGTTCGAAAGACTCCCACTGTCCAAACAGGACTGGATGAAAGATACCTTCTGAGGAATTCCCCTTCTTCCGCCTCGACCAAAAACAATTAAATCCCACAGGCAGTCAGAAATACCAGAACCCTCTGGAGCAGGAATGGCGCAAGCACCGAGAGCCAAGTACGGCTGATAACCACGTTTTAGTGGCTCAACCAACCCAGCAGCGACACAGCGGTGCAAGCAGGATTTTCCGATCTTGAGCCAAAGTCAAGTTGCAGCATAGTTTCATGCTGACCCAACTCTGGATTGGACATGCTCTGTGCTTATGATTGTAAAGGCGCATTCGGTTGGTTTGTGACACATTTGGTGTTTGTAGCCGACGGTGCCCAAGGCAACACGCTGGATTTTGAGCATCCGTTTTGGTTCTGTTACGGTTAGTGGTTTTTGTCCGAATTTATTCTTCTATATATATATATACATATGATATATATATACATATATTATGATATATATATGTGTGTGTTATGATATATATATATATGTTATGATATATAAAAAAGTTATGATATATATATATATATGTTATGATATATATAAAATGATATATATAATGATATATATATATAATGATATATATATATATAATAATAATACATATGTATACATATAATGATATATATAATGATATATATAATGATATATATATATATAATGATATATATGTAAATATAATGATATATATATACATATATATATATATTATGATGTATATATAATGATATATATATATATAATGATATATATATAATTATATAAATATATAAAATGATATATATATATAATGATATATATATATAATGATATAAATATATAAAATGATATTTAAATATATATATAATGATATATACAATTATATTTATATTATGATATAAATATAGATATGATATATGTTATGATATATACATATATTTAAATCATATATCTTCATCAATAGTTTAAAAATGAGACGATCAAATGGAGCAACAGCAAGGAGTTGTTGACCATTGGAGGTGATCAAAGGCCTTCAAATCTCAGACGGACAACGTAATTTGGTTCACGGAAATTGTCGCCTGGATCATGATGATTTATGATAATCCACAAGTGTATTGGCTCGTATACTGCAATCCGCAATAGCTTTTAACGCTTTTAACTATCAACCTATTAAGGCTTCCACAACTGCTTATTGGCATCGTTTCCAGCCAATTGCGAGCCCAGCCACTCTGCTACTAATCCTTGGCCCACGCACAGGTGCTCTCCATGCCGGCGAGATAGCTGCATAAACTACAAGAAATGAGACCGAGAGATGCCAGATACATTTCAAGCCCCACAATATATAAACCATATATTGAATCGCAAAGTCCTCTTCTAGACCATCATTTTTTGTACAGGGTGGTGCCTCCTACTTAGCTAAGTTGGTTTATAAGTGGGGTAATCTATAGGTAAATGCGTTTACTGTAAACCAACCCATAAATGGGAGGAACCACCTTTTAAATTGCATAGAGGGAACTTAATCCCACTTATCAACATTGGTTGCTATCACCAACTACTGATTGGGATGCACCCCCAAGTACTCAAACCTATGAGGCACGGACGCTTAGTTGCTTGATTTGCTGTGCGTTGACGGACTTTCAGGTGAACAAACACTTGTGAGCTAGTGTAAGCTTCGTGTAAACTTACCCCCCCCAATTTGGGTGTCTGAAAATATGGTATCCCAACCAGTTATCCTAGTAAATTATAGTATTTCACTAACCTGAATCTTGCGGCCTGGGGTGATTTCCCTGAAATAAACATGAAGAAACCATGATTCTAGTGAGGTCGCAGTGAGGTCGTTATAAATTCCCCAGAGTTATGATCTTTTTCGTAGGGAACGCGATGATTAACCGATTTCGGAGTGCCCAGCATCGATTGGTGTCACCAGCTAGCAAGATTTCTTTCCTCAGTGGGCCATTGGGATTCATCGCCAATCTTGGATACCACACTTTCCTTTTCAGAGGGTGATTATATTATACCAATAAATCATTAAATAATTATATATATATATTATTATTATATATATACATAATAATATATATATATATAATAATATATATGTATATATACACCATATGTAAATATATATATACACCATATGTATATATATATATATAAATCAAACAAATATATATACATACATATGTGATATATATATATATATATATGTATCATAAATATATATATATATATATAAATATGTCATATATATATACGTATCATAAATATAAATAAAATTATAGATATACACCATATATATATATTAATATATATATATATATATATTACTATAAAAATCCCTGTCCAAGGGTCACCCAGTCATGTGGCTCCAATGAGTTGAGAACCTTGATACGGGGCTATGGATCAATCAACTTGGGACTCTGGCTAGCCTTCTAAAAATCCGATGGCACATGGATCTTCATTAACCCGCAATCATAAGGTGCACACTAGGTTTCTACTTGGAGTTTTGATGGAAGCCGACATGTAAAAACTGGTCCTGTCTCAATACTGGATCTCCCCAAAAGGACAAAACACATCGCAATATACCATGGGTTTTCTAAACATTGAAGTTTGTCCGGAAAAAAAAAGGGTACAGTAGAACAGTGCAGTATACTCAGTATACCGTAGAACACCAATTTTGAGACACCATTGACATTTGATCAGCTGAGAATCATGGCTTGAAACTGCTTCAGTAGCTTTCCATTTCCCAGGATCTGTCTGTGGACCTCCCATTCCTCGAAGCGTGGCGGCTTGGGCATCGGCATCGACTGACACGATTTGCTTTTTCTTTGCCATTCTTAGCACCGCGAGAAAAAAAACAAAATGTTAGCTGGTTTGTAGATATTCTAGATGATACTCTTATGTAAAGCAGTAGATGAAAGGATGAAACTACCCAACTATCCATCCAAGGTTCACCTAGTAATACCCAATATATCTGTCCATGTCCCTTGGGCTTTGCATCTGTCCATGTCCCTTGGGCTTTGCAAGTTGGAGTGGATTGGGGTGATACTGATGAGAATCGAGATGCACTGATGATGATCCTATTCCTAAGCAGCTATACTACATTCCATCCACACTTACCCCAAAACAACCCTCATAATACGCGGCATATATAATCGATTAAATCGCGTATCACCAATACATAGACATAGAACAACACACATACAGACCCACAAACATATTGGAACAGGGTCCGCGTTAGCGTCATCACCAGCGTCACCATCAGCGTTGTCATCATCATCATCATCATCAACAACAACATCACCATCACCATCACCATCATCATCATCCTCATCCTCATCCTCATCCTCATCCATCATATCCACATTCTACTTAGACTCCGATGCTTTAACTTACGTTTCCATGCCAAATCTCACATCACCAGCAATCCCCCTGCCTGTGCGAAGAACAACTCCTGCAGCGCCACGGTAGGCACAACACACTCCTTACCTTGGAGTTGCGATCGCCAAGCAAAACGCACCTATATATTCTAGATTCCCCAAGTCATAGATTTCCAATTGTGAAAATAATGAACATATGCCAAATCACCATATTTTATAGTAAAACCAGGTAGTAAGATTAAATTATTTGCTGTTAACTCATTAAGCCATATTAAACCCAATGGCCCATGGGTTAGTATGGTTATTAACCCCTTAGATCACCGTTCTTTCGCATCTCGCGACCAGGTTGCGTACCGCTTGGCGGTCCATAAAGGTTTGCATCCACGCGGCGCGCTGGATGCGGTTTGACTCGCGAAGCTGCACCTGTGGAAATTTCGTCATCGGAATCCCCTAAGTCACCATAGTCATGGCCATTTAGTAGTTATACAAGTAACTGGTTATAAGTGGGACTATACCTTCCATGAGGTTAGAAGTAGCTATAAGGTACAGGGCCAGTTAATGGCATGGTTTCAATGCTAATGGGGGGATCCCATGGGTTAGTATGGTTAGCATGACTTGGGGATAACTAAGATGACCTAGTTTCAGTGCTAACTTGGATTTGGGGGATATGTAATAATAGCCAGAACTTGCCATAACCATTGAATACTATCGGTATATATATATACATATATATTGATACCGGAAACCATCGGAAACCACCTACTTATGAGCCAACCCTGCAGATCTTTCATGGATCCAATCATCATTTGGAGTTTATGGCGCTGTCGACTCGTGGAGTTTCAGGCGATTGGGCGTTTTTTGATGGGCCGTGGCGGAAGCAAAGGAATGCAAAGTACTTCTATAAGAACAGACCGGCAATGGAACGTAAACCAGCAAGACTGGCGTATAAACTTAAACCAACCAACTAGTACATACGTGCAGTGGACACTGAAGGCCCAACAACAAATACACAATGTCTCATCATCCAATACTCTCCAAACTCAGAGTGGCCAGGGGTTGAGTGCCTTACGGCCTTGATATTGGATGGTTTCATAGCCCCAGACCTACGGATGGGTGCATCCAGTAAGTGGATTATAACTTAGCAGGGTTTCAAAGGCTTTCACAATAGAGCCCGTCTTGGACTGGCATGCGCATACGCATACATAAACGGCTTCAAATACGCAAACAAAATGCATATTCCCGACATATCCAGAAATTGCGGCTACTAGCTGTTTTCTTTATATTTCTGTTTGCGTTTCTTTTACGTAAGCGATAAAATAAGGCCTTATTTGCCCAAAATAAGGTCTTATTTTTCTCCCGACATAAATAAAACATAAACCATATACACATGTACAAACACAAACGTTACAACATGTGTTTGTGTTCTCATTTGCGTTTTGTTTATGTTTTCTATACGTGCGTTCCAAAATAAGGCCTTATTTTGCGTGATTTGCACAAAATAAGGTCTTATTTTTCCTCCGACATAAAAAACACATAAATTCGCAAACGTATACATAAGTAAAACATAAACACAACGCAACCCAGTCCCAAAATAGGTTAATATGTCACATGTATTTCGCATGTTTCACATATATTTCACATACGGCTCACATATGTGTTCACTTGCGCTGCACATACGCTTCACATACGCATCACATACGTTCCACCAGCGTAAAAATCTATGTTTCATATGCGTTTTACATATGTTTTGCATGCGCGGCCACTTAGGATATGTATACGTACCCCCTCGTCAGCTCCTATAGCTAAATTATAACCCCAGTTATGACTGAACTAACCCTACTTCCCCCTTCTTAATGGGGTCATAACTGACTTTCTAACTGGGTTAAACCAACACCTGGAAACAACATATAAAGTGATGGTCTGGAAGAGGCCTTTGCCTTTGCCATTCAATATTCAATACATTCCGTATCTTGTTGGGCTTCCAGAATTTCTCTGTCTCTCACGGTCAACCTTTATTGTTCTTGCTACATCCCGTGTGGTAAGTTACATCTTCAAAATGTCCGTGAGTTGTATACATATGATTCATATGACTTAATGCCAATAATCGCAGAGATGCACATGATATACAGCCCAGCGGCTGTCACATTTTTGTTACAATACATACTGTGGATGGAAGAAATCCTGCACCACAAAAAAAAAACATAAAAAAACTATCTATAAATCCATCCACAGTATGATGTACCCTCTGGTAAACTAACAGGTCGCGCCGCCCTTGGGCAACTGGTGTTTTTTGGCGCCTTTTGTTCTTTGCGCCTTGTGCTCTTTCGTTCTTGCGCCATGATCAGCGAGCGTTGCAAGCTTTGGCCAATTGTTTGAGAAAATGCAATGGAACATTCCCCGACAAGTTGATTTAAATTGTCTAAACAAAAGTACATGTGTAAATATACATACACATAGATTATATATATATATAAACATTTGATAGATACCTATACATTATCTAAAATTCAAGAACAATGCTCTATTAGGCGCCCAAATTTGATGGCAACAAAGATGGCAACTTTGAGGGCAAAAGCCATGGCAATGGCGGTGGCAATCTGCAGGGCAACATGGATGGAAAAAACCGACGGGGGCAAATGTAATGGCAACATCGGTGGCAAAAAACACTGGCAAATACTTGGCGGGGGCATAAGCACAGGCGGCAAATTGAATGGCAAAATTGTGGCTGCGAGCAAAAGCCCTTGGCAACACACGTGGCAACGAAAGGGCAAACTTGCATTGCGGGCAAAAGCAATAGCAACACAGGTAGCAAAGCTCTGGCAAAAAATGTGGCAAGGGCTAAAGACGCGACGCGTAAGTGGGAAAAGCAGATGGCACATTGCATGGCCAAAGGATATTGTATGCAGCCGTTGGCTTGCACAAGCGGCTTCTGGAATTGTGTCATACGCAAAGCAAGTGAACATTTTCAATCAGATTGCTGTGGTGTCGAATGATCAAACTTAGTGCTCAGAAATTGTTGTGTTTACAGCTCACTTGGTCAGCAATTGCCTTTCGGTTGTGTTTTGGTCTAATGATTTTCTGTGTCTAAGCGATGCTGGAACATTGCGGGGCACAGAGTTAAAGGACCAGATAACTCCACATGGCAAAGTCTTCCAATAATGAGCACCAAATGTTGTAGCGGGGACGGGGAAGAAAGGAAAGACAAAGGAGGTGGTGGAGGACCGAGAAGTAAAACAAAGTTGTGTGTGTGTGACAAAGTTGTGTGTGAAAGATGGTGTGTGTGACAAAGTTGTGTGAAAAAGAGCGTGTGACAAAGTTGTGTGTGAAAGATGGTGTGCGACAAAGTGGTGTGTGAAAGATGCTGTGGTGAAAGATGATGTGTGACAAAGTTGTGTGTGTGTGAAAGGTGGTGTGGTGAAAGATGGTGTGTGTGTGTGTGTGACAAAGTGGTGTGTGAAGGATGGTGTGGTGAAAGATGGTGTGAGACAAAGTGGTGTGCGAAAGATGGGTCTGTGACTGTGTGTGAAAGATGGTGTGAAAGATGTTGTGTCAAAGATGGTGTGTCAAAGCTGGTGTGTGAGAGATGGTGTGTGAAGGATTGTGTGGTGAAAGATGGTGTGTGACAAAGTGGTGTGAAAGATGGTGTGTCAAAGGTGGTGGGTGACAAAGTGTTGTGTGAAAGGTGGTGTGTGAAAGATGGTGTGTGACAAAGATGGTGTGTGAAAGATAGTGTGTCAAAGATGGTGTGTGAAAGATGGTGTGTGACAAAGTGGTGTGTCAAAGATGGTGTGTGACAAAGTAGTGGTGTATCAAAGATGGTGGGTGACAAAGTGGTGTATGAAAGATGGTTCGCGAAAGAAGGTGGATGTCACCAAGCGCCACACCTGCCACGCAAAACGAAGGTAGATGTCTCCAAGCGCGACGCCTGCCACGTGAAACGAAGGTGGATGTCACCAAGCGCCTTGCCTGGCACGCAAAGTGGAAGTCGATGTCACCAAGTGCCACGCCTGCCACGCAAAGTGACGGTCCATGTCGCCAAGGGCCACGCCTGCCACGCAAACAGCGGCGGCGTCTACGGCGTCAACTGGGAACCAAGCGCGCCACCAGAGCCAGCCCAGTGCCATAAGTGCCACGCCTGCCACGCAAAGTGGAGGTCCATGGTCGCCAAGTGCCACGCCTGCCACGCAAAGTAACTGTCCATGTCGCCAAGTGCCACGCCTGCCATGCTAACAGCGGCGGCGTCCACGGCGTCAAGCGCGCCAACAGAACCAGCCCAGTGCCATAAGTGCCACGCCTGCCACGCAAAGTGGAGGTCCATGCCACCAAGTGCCGCACCTGCCACGCAGAATGCACGCACGTGTCGCCAAGTACCACGCCTGCCACGCAAACACCGGCGGCGTCGGCGGCGTCCACGGCGTCAACTGGGAACCAAGCGCGCCGCCAGAGCCAGCCCAGTGCCATAAGTGCCACGCCTGCCACGCAGAATGCACGTACATGTCTCCAAGCGCCTCATCTGCCACGCAGAATGCACGGACGTACATGTCTCCAAGTACCACCGCTGCCACGCAAACAGCGGCGGCGTCCACGCTGGGAACCAACCGCGCCACCAGAGCCAGCCCAGTGCCATAAGTGCCACGCCTGCCACGCAGAATGCACGTACATGTCGCCAAGTGCCGCACCTCCCACGCAGAATGCACGCACGTGTCGCCAAGTACCACGCCTGCCACGCAAACAGCGGCGGTGTCCACGGCGTCAACTGGGAACCAAGCGCGCCACCAGAGCCAGCCCAGTGTCATAAGTGCCACGCCTGCCTCGCAGAATGCACGTACAAGTTGTGTGAGGACAAGTTGTGTGTGAGCGACTTGTCCTCACAAAGTTGTGTGCGAGCAAGTTGTGTGATGACAAGTTGTGTGTGGACAAGTTGTGTGTGGACAAGTGGTGTGAGGACAAGTTGTGTGGGAGCGATTTGGTGAAGACAAATTGTGTGGGTGAGCGATTTGGTGAGGACATGTTGTGTGTGGACAAGTTGTGTGAGGACAAGTTTCGTGTGGACAAGTTGTGTGTGAGCGATTTGGTGAGGGCATGTTGTGTGTGAGCAAGTTGTGTGATGACAAGTTGTGTGTGGACAAGTTGTGTGTGGACAAGTTGTGTGTGGACAAGTTGTGTGAGGACAAGTTGTGTGTGAGCGATTTGGTGAGGACAAGTTGTGTGTGAGCAAGTTGTGTGATGACAAGTTGTGTGTGGACAAGTTGTGTGTGGACAAGTTGTGTGAGGACAAGTTGTGTGTGGACAAGTTGTGTGTGAGCGATTTGGTGAGGACAAGTTGTGTGTGAGCAAGTTGTGTGATGACAAGTTGTGTGAGGACAAGTTGTGTGTGGACAAGTTGTGTGTGAGCGATTTGGTGAGGACAAGTTGTGTGTGAG